TTCAGTTCCCTCTTTCATCGCCACCCTCAACTTATGGATTTTCCATTAGTTGAGGTACACAATACTCGATGTCGGGTCAGGGTCAAGATTTGAAGTTACTTTTTACATTAGCCACCCTCAACTTAGGCTTTTGGCCTAAGTCGAAGTGCACATGTCCAAGGAGGGACCGGGGCCAACATAGTAGATTATGGGAAAGTGAGTTCAGGGTTTAAGAAGAAATTGTTTAATTTTAGGCTCAAATTATTTGGATCAAAGGGAGCATTTATTTCATTTGGTTGGATCCTTCTTTTAGGCGATTTGTGGATTTTTCAGAACAATGGCCTATGATCACTTCCTAACTTCTAGATTGAATTGTCTTAGCAGGACTAACCAGGCAAGTTCTAGTTTTGCACAAAAACTGTTTGAACACTCAACGATTCTCACACACTCTTGGCACATAGTTCCATCATCAGATTATCAGATTACCCGGTTCAAGTTTCAGCCTAAGTCATGCCCTCAAGTTAATTCATGATTATGTCATACTCAGAGCCGACACATTCAACTTATCGTAGTCTACAACTTCTAGCACACATCACAAAATCTGACAGGTATCATTTTTCATAAGCCATTATGCTTCTTTCTTTTTCATGCTTCTACTTATATGATCCTAACACATGCCGGTTCAACAGAAATGAAACAGTCTCTTGGGGAAAAAGAACACAGGCAAGAAAACCCCAAGAGAGGATTCATGAGTTGGGTTATTCAGACTTCACCCTATCACTCACAATCCATTTACCCCCTCCTGCCAACGCTGTCTCTTGTGAGATTTCTCTTCCTCTGTGTGATGAGAACGGTGCCGCTTGCCTTTGGCATGTGTCGGTGCAGGCCCCTCTCGGCGGTCCCACTGAATAGAGCATCTAGCACTGTATCATCAGCTAGTGCAGTAGGAGCAGCCTGAGTCTCAACTGAAGGTGCAACAAGAATAGCATCAACGTCAGTCCGGAGGCTGGCTAAATCAGCCTGCAAAGTAGATAGATCTGTACCCGGGGCTGATCGCTCGAGAACTCTCAACTCGAAGGCCTCAAGACGCTTATTAACAGCTTGGACCTTCCGGTCCATCATCCCCTCCATCCTGCGCTCCATCCTCGCCTCGGACTCAGCTATCGACTTTTGCATCCATGGCTGGATGTGATGCAGCAGTGTGGCCATCTGAGCCTCTAACTTCTGTACTCTAGCTAAAGGGACAACAATAGCTCCTAATTGTGGTGTGGACCTGGAAGAACTAGGAGCCATACTAGGTGCCTGAGAAGAAGAGCCCGGGACAGTGTCGGTGTGGTCTGGGATAATGGGGTCACCGCCCTGTGCCTTCCCCACTATGTCTGCAAGATCGGTACCTAAGGGAGGTACCTCAATCTGGGGCTCTCTGCGAGGTGCTGCCACATTTGCCTCATCTCGAATAAGGCCAATGTCCAATGCCCATGTAGGGTGGACTAACTTTTCACAATGCCAGATCGGCACTCCAGAGTCCCTGCACAAATGAAAAATTAGACATGGGAAAGGGTAAGTAGTGGAGGTCCTGAAAGCCCTCTCGTGAATCTCTGCCAGCAGCATGCGG